TTATTAGCTGGCATTTTGAACTATTCCTAAATAGTGTACAAGAATCATGCATCGCCTGTGCTGAATGACTCAAGTTACACAAACACGCCCTCTGCATCTTTTGCTCTATTATTTATAGTCATACTACTTTACATTAAACAAGGACCACTTCTCATATAGCATCACCCTTACAGCATATGTAAAACATAAAGGTGCCTGTATCTCCAAACTTTACAATCAAACGTGGGCTCTTTAATAGATCAACGTGCTCGTCGGGGTCAAAGGAATCTTGTGTCAAAGTATGAAGTTCATCGTGGGCGATCCCAGATTTCGCAATGTCGCTACCAGCCAAACTGGATCTGGGGGTCGACCTCTTCGACGACGACGACCAAAAAATATTTTTTGGGCTGTTTGCGACATTGATCGCGAAACTTTCACACAAGGTGCTGTTGGCCAAGCCGAGCCCATTGCTCTAATAAAAACACCACGTTTCATTGTAAAGTTTGGAGATACAGGCACCTTTATGTTTGTAAGCGTGATGTTATATGAAGAGTGGTCTTTGTTCATTGTCAAGTAGGTGGACCCTGGCAGAGCAAAAGATGCAGAGGGTCGTGTTGTGTAACACAGCTACGTTTGCATGAATGAAAGGGTCAATGTATAATTACTTTATGGATCATCTAGGAACAGGCATGTATTGTTAGCTAACGGCCACCTTTATCCAATCATCATTGTTGCGAGATCCACTGCATGGGAACGATGCCCCTGCTCCAGACATTCATTTCCATGATTAAAGTAGGTTGATCCGAGCTGATTTGACTGAGCTGCGGTCAAAGAGAGATTTCATCACTCTGGACATAAAGCACGCTCGATGTAGCTCAACCGATGTAATCTTGTGTGAGCGTAACTCAACCAAATCAACTCGGATCAACCTACTTTAATCATGGAAATGAATGTCTAGAGCAGGGGAATCGTCCACCTACAATAGAATGCACAAAAGTTGGGAATGCACAAAAGTGGCTATTAGCTGCCGATGTATGACATAAAAGTGAGGGTTGCGTACCTTTCATGCATTGTCCCTGAAGTCCTGACTTTTTAGCTGAGTAACCCAAAGAGGTCCTTCTGCATCTTTTGCTCTGCCAGAGTCCACCTACTTGACAATGAACAAAGACCACTCTTCATATAGCATCACGCTTACAAACGTAAAGGTGCCTGTATCTCCAAACTTTACAATGAAACGTGGGGTTTTTATTACAGCAATGGGCTCGGCTTGGCCAACTGCACCTTGGGTGCCAGTTTCACAATCAAGCTTGCCAATCCCAGATTTCGCAATGTCGCCACCAGCCAAACTGGATCTGGGGGTCGACCTCTTCGACGACGACGACCAAAAAATATTTTTTGGGCTGTTTGCGACATTCAACGCGAAACTTTCACACAAGGTGCTGTTGGCCAAGCCGAGCCCATTGCTCTATTCAAAACCCCATGTTTCATTGTAAAGTTTGGAGATACAGGCACCTTTACGTTTGTAAGCGTGATGCTATATGAAGAGTGGTCTTTGTTCATTGTCAAGTAGGTGGACCCTGGCAGAGCAAAAGATGCAGAGGGGCGGTTGGTGTAACTGAGCCAAGCTCAGGACTTGAAGGGTCAATCTTATTGGTGGAGAAATGCATGACAGACCCCTTCCCCTTCCTTCCTACAGTAAGGTCTGCCTATGAGGGCCGGTATGGAATGGTCGTTCTTAGATAAGGATGCATGGGATAGTGTTAGCTGAGAACTGTCATAGGTAAGCATAGCTTGTTCAAGTGCTTGTGGCATATGGTTAACATCTCATTCTTTCTTGAATATGATGCATTAAGCTTCTTACAATGAAACACGCTTCTTTTTTAACAAGCACATGTTAGACATCATCATTCTCAGATTTATTATCTTTGCAATACAAGCGTTAGAGGATTGACACTGCCTTTTGCCTACTATCAGCATGTGAACAAGAAAGCTTTAGTGAATGTAATAGTGTTGTAGCAAAGACCTAATACGATGATGTACATGATCCAACTTCGCTTTCCGACTATCAATTTCTATTTCCCGTCTTAATCCAGAAACCAACCAAATGATCCACACCTTGCTCATATGAGCTGTTAGTATGATACCCCTAGTACCACGTTGAATCCAATTTGCATTCAATAAAAGAGTCGATGAATAGCACACGGTATCAAGTAAATATGGAACCTTAAATAAGATACGGATGAATCATAAACAAGACAAGAGGTATGATTGTGCCATTGCATACTTGGTTGCTGCTGTCATAAACATCCTTCATCCATGATCTCTACATGATCCGTTACTGTATAGCTTGGCTTGTGTATTCCAATACCAATTGCATGAACGTTAAGATCATTATTACCCCATAAGGCATTCAACGAAAAAGTGAAAAGTTTACGAGCGAAGCGATCAATTGGGGCCGCAAGTCCAGAATTGAAGGGAGACGATGAACGATTTCATCATGTAGTATTGTGATTAAACGAGGAGGATATATATAATTTACAAAGGTGGGTAGATCTTTCTATGCAAACTTGCTCTGATAATTTTGATACAAGGGCATCAATGCGAATGTGAAGAATACGGCCCATGATACAATGAACCAAAAGGTGTAAAAGCCGATGTAGACATAGCTCTTCTTTTTACGCAGTAAGCTGCCAATGCGTTGTAATGCCTTGTCACGACGTTCCTCTTGTTCAGCGGGTGCCACTGCATAATAAGGATATCGGTATGCACGTTCCTCTTCTTCTTGTTCATGCTTGGCTGCTTTGAGACGACGCTCACGTTCAAATTTGTCCGCTTGAAGCCATCCTTCCAGGATTTTGCGATCCATCAGCCAAAAGATGCCAACGACCAGCGTTGCACATCCTGCCATTACCAGGTAGCAAACCAATACGCCATCATACTCGTTTTGAAGATCCCTTGCATTATCCGCACTATTGCCGTCATGGTACGTCAAGTCTTGAACATAGCCCACAATCACAGAGACAATGGTCGTTCCAATATTGTTGGCACACTTGTGAAGAGCCATACCTGTGCCGGATAATTCATGTGGAAGGAGCATCGAAGTGGATGTAAGAATAGATACCGGGCCCAATGCCAAAGAAAGTGAAATCAAAATCATGCCGACAGCAGGAACAACCCAAGTGTACGCGAGAAGCACCATGGATACCACGAGCACAATGGCAGCAACAAACACTATGAAGAGGATGAATTTAGCCCCTTTGTGCTATCATGCATATACCACGTGTCACTTACGGTTGGTGAGACGCTTGCCAAAACGATGGACCACAAGACCCATTACTGGAGCAGCCACAATGGGGACCACTTGAGTAAGACTACTTTGGTACTAATGAAGAAATACATGAACATACATGATCTAGACATCCATGCTCAAGAACTTACTCCTGCCATGACACTGGTTGTGCTATATCGAAATTCCACAAACTCACTAATGAGAAATCAAATCATGTCAATTCATCATGCATCACACGTATAGATCATCAAAATTACGTACGTTGCAACGTCTTCGAAACTGCTAAGCACACTTGAAAAGATAAGCTGCATCCAGGGCACCATCCAGAATGTGCTTGGAAGTAAAAGAAGTAGCTTGAGCGAGTATTTTGATTTGAGACAATTGGCTGCTGCTGTTCTGGTACCCGTAACCTGGGAGATAACATCCGAGTTGTATGGTTGATGCTGGCTATTGACAACAGCCATACTTCCCATGACCGAGCGATTCTCATACTTTTGTTTGGGTTGTGCAATTTCCTTGCCATTGCTGGTAGCCCACCCGTTTCGCACCATAACGATCCAATAAATCCCGTTTGTGACAACACCCATGCCACACAGTAGCATGGCAACGTATAAGGGCGTTGAGCTTGAGCCTGAAGATGTCACAATCGGATAGCAGACCAACTTGGCAATGAACTTTGTGAGCCGTGCAACGCATAAATGGATACCAATGATGATTGCTATTTGTCGATCTCTGAACCAACGTGATAAAATGCCTATGATATTATTAGTGAAAGGGATATTACCAAGGAGGAAGTAAATGTATACCCTACCTTCTTGCATCGTGACGATCATACCACTTGCTAGGCCATACACAACTTGGCCTACCACCATGATGGGATAACTGCTCTTGGTGCTACCGATGGATACAAGCACACTACCAAGGAAAACAATGATGCTGACCAAAGAGGTACCACGAATGGATCCAAGACTTCTCAAGTCATCGATAAAGAAACCAGCCAACATGGGGAGGATGGTGTTGACAAGGTTGACAGCAGAGACAAGAATACTGAATTGGGTATTATTGATGTTCATATTCTATCCGAAAGGTAAGTCACATGATCAAGGACACCATGTGCTTTCATCATCTTACATGCTTTAATGCGGTCTTGAGGGTGCCCACAGTAGCTTCAAGATAATGACATCCAATAGGAAGTGCCAGCATGCACATGACAATGGTCAACTTGAGTCGCCATGTTGCCTTGACAAATTCACTTTCTTCGGCACCTTGAGTGGTCGTTGTTCCTGTGGCCTTGCTATAAAAAGCTGAACCCGGATCTTCGGATGATGCTGTCATATCATAGCGAGGGAACAGATCGGCATGGATTGAGTCGATATCAGTTGCTGGTGGCTGTGGTGGTGGTGGTGTTGGTGGCTGTAGTTGCTTTTCGTTGGTGGTGGTGGTGCTGGCAACCGTGTTACTGTTTTCGGAATCAGGTTGCTGATTTGCCATGGCGTTGTGATTGGAAGAAGCGTTGCTCATGTTGACCCTCGTTCACTCTCTCTCTCTTTCAGTGGAATATACACATAAAAGGCAAAATACAAACAAGAAAGGATTGCAGAGGACGGAGCCTCATTCCATGAATGGATAAAAGAGAGAGAGAAAAGCAAGAAAAGTAGCCAACTGTGAGATGCCGTTTAACAGAAGGAGCAGGTACCTTGAGCATTGTCTCGTTTGACACAAAAATAATTGGTCCAAACGGCAAATCGGCATCCGCTCCACCAAACAAGCGAGTCTGAAATTCCTTTAGTGTTTCCATTCTTTTTTGCTTTACGTGTTCTTTCACATCACCTTAGAAAATGGCTTCTAAACACAAGCTATATATAAATGATCGTATCGTAGAAACCTGTTGTCATGGAGATATGGATATTAAAAGAAGGATGGATTGCGATGGTGTGCATGCAAGTAATTGACCAATGTTCTCCGATCACTTTAACCGAGAGGAGAAACGGTGGGCGTGAGGATATTTATTGTATATTGGCGTTAGCTCAGTGCGTAATTGCCACATGCTAATCAACTCTAGATAATGGAAGGATGTAGCTGACAACAATACTACAAGGAGAAATACCTCTGAAAAGGCAGGCTGAAGCAAACCCACACTTTTGACGATGCTTTAATTATCCCTGGGTTGATGATTCGCTTCTCCAGTGGCCAATCATCATGCAATCGCCAAGACAAACTAGTCCATGTGTCACCTCGCTCCGATATTTCAACACCGCTACGCATTGCAATGAACACAGTGAGCACAATTGAAGGAACCATTTTGATTTTTCCTTCCCAATCAGCCAAATCCTTGTCAGAATCGTGAGTTAGCAATAGATCCAATGAGATGGATCATCCTTGTCAAGTTGACGAGGCTTGGATTACCATAAATGTTATTATCGGTTATTGTTGGCTATCCTCTTCCAAAAGTAGAGATGGCTGACATTCTTTGGAGAAAGCGTGATCCATCCAGTGCTTCCATGGTGCTTATTGAAGATGGGCTTTGTGGAATTTGTAATTTGATATCTGCATATGATTTATATACGCATACACATACACACGCACACACACCGTGAGCAGCAATTATAGTGTGGCTATTCAACCCCTCATCCACTACTAGTATTATCAAACAACAGGATCATCGGACAACTAGCTTTGTTTCATAAGTTTCAATGATCGACAACAATGCATAAATGATGGTAATAGCGTGCCTGGAAATTCTTGTCGACATGCATCTTTTCTTGCTCGCCCATTGTACAACATAAAAGCCTTTTATGTACGACATAGTCATAATCTTGATGGAAGGTAAAGAATAAGTGCTTATAGCAAGATATCATCAAAGCAGTGATAGGCATCTCATCCAAGACATTCTATAACTAGCGAACCGAATCAAGAGAAGGCTTTGAAAAAAAGGGTGGAATTGCCATGCCAACCATGCAATAAATACTTTTCTCTCGTTTCTCTTCTTTCTTCTCCACATCTTCAATACCAACTCCACTACTTTCCCCCTTCCTTTCCTTCAGAAATGGGTCATTGCGTCACCCTCATTGCCATTCTTTCTTTCTTGACACTCGCATGTTTCCCTCATTTGTCGCATGCAGCAGCAGTTCCCAATGTTCCCGTCGACAATCTCGTCGTGTTTGGTGATTCCTACTCTGGTAACGTGTCTATACAAAGAGTATACCATATAACCATTTATTGATATTTAGTTTTGCATGAAATGGTATCTAGATCTAGGCAACTTCCATCGATGGACAAATGGCCCAGTATGGAGCGAGAATGTAGCCGTTGCATGGAATGCATCATTGTATAGCTTTGCTTACACTGGCTCTGCATGTGACAATGAACTCTATCCCCATGTACCAGCAACCGACCGCATGCCTAGTATCCGTGATCAAATCGAGTTATACTACAACCTTGACCTTGGCCTCGATGCGAACAAGACCGTCTTTGCCATATGGGTCGGCATCACTGATATTCAAAAGGCGTATCAACAAAGTCTTGGTATGTTGTATGATTGATGGTATTAGTAGTAATCATGAGTCTCACTCTTTATCATAATAGGTACAGAAGATACACAACCAGACTTTGGCAACATTGCAAAATGCATTGGACAACAAGTGCGTAATATCCGCAAAGCATTCAAGGCTGATCGTATCATGGTGTTCAATGTGCCTCCTTTGGAATACATGCCATTCTTTGTTGATGATGATAATGCATTGGATCGAGCAAAGTGGGGCGCTGCTGCTGAGCAATTGAATCGAATGCTGCGAAAGGACATTGCCATTCTCAATCGCAATCACCATGCATTGAAACTGGATTTGGTGGATATTCACAGCTTGCTTTCCGATATTGTCGAGGATCCATCGATGTTTAGCTTTACAGATGCATCACATGCCTACTTGGATGCTTGTCAAAATCAATGTGACAACAAGATTGATGATTATCTATGGTGGGATCGTACACACATGACAGGAGGTGCCCATCGTGCCATTGCCAACTCCATCTTGCTTTCAGGCTCCTACGCCAACCCCACGAGCATTGATGCTTGGTCTCTTTCTCAAGTTCAGGCCCTCATTGAACGACCAGGATCCAAATATCGATCACCCATTTACGTGTCACCCCCTAACTCTGGTTTGATTGATCGCATTGTTCAAGAAAAGACCGCTTCTTCTTCTTCTCAAGGCTCATTCATGTCCACCCTCGACAATAACACCGGTCATTCAATGTGGAGTTGTGTTACTATTGGTGGCATCTTGGCTGTATTATTCGGTGCCATCTTCAAGTTGTTAAAGAAACTACGACATCAAAGCAACAAGCACCGTTTCCATGGTGGTCTTCTTGATCCCAACTCGGTAGACGCGCCTTATTACTACCGATCGCCCATGACTGAACCAAAGTAAACCTCCAACATTACTCTCCACCACCACCACCGCATCATTGTCATCCACATCCATCTTTGTATTATTTTTCATCTTCGTGTCTGTATACATCCTCTTTTTCTTAGTGTGATAATAAACACATTCTTTCCTTTGAATGAAGAATGATGCGTCGTTAGGATTAGAGAGAGAGAGATATATATTGCTTTGCACGTGGCAGTGGTGATTATCGTCATTATGCCGACTCGTTGTGCATGGTGCAGGGTCCCGTGGCATTGCATAAACAACCATTTATAGTAAAGGTCCGCTCGCAGGTTAAAGCGGGTCCATTGTTTCCAGTTGCGGTGAGTGCTTCATTATATAGCCACTATGGCACACATATGCTCCTCTTTCTACTTTGTGGATACATAATGATCGGCATCAATCACTCTCATTCCAAGCTTTTGTTCGACTGATATGGCAATCTTGCCAAAAACACAATGATAAAAAGTGGTTGGAAAGGATGGGCTTCATGGTAAAACCATTCGCTACACGAAGATTCGATTACGACATACACACATACACTCATTCAACAGGTTCGTATCCGGTTGGGAAGGGGGGTTGGTTCATTTAGAGTTTTATTCCTATTCGACAAGGGATGTTGGAAACAGACGTATTCTCTGATCCGGAGTTCTTGGATATGCGCGCCGCTCTATATACATTATGTACATGCACAGATTTGTGTACGTGTGTGTGTGTATACGAGTTTGTGTATCTCCATGTCCTATGCATGCGTCGTTTCCCCAACATTCAAGTTCTTGTTATTTATAAAAAAAACTTTATGAGAAACCATCTACTCACACACAATCTTCTTTTCTAGAGAACTTCACTATCACTATTGCCTTGAGAAATGTACCCACCTGCTGCAGCACATCCATCGTTTTCCACGTACGAAGAAGCAAATGGGATCAAGTTAGAGACGATGGTGGAGCCAATGTCTCATACGGCGGTGACGATTCCTTATGGTGACAGCTCGTGGCCTGTCACACCTGTGGATGAATCCAATGCTATGATGATTCATCGCCCATCATCATCATCCTTGCCTACGCAGCCTTCCACCCATTTCCCATCTCCCATGGCCAGTGATCTTTCTCTCAGTTATCCACCACCTGACGTCTCTTATCCATCCTCCTCCTCCTCTTGCTCATTTCAACGTCCACCCGTATCCCTGTCATTGCTGTTGGAGCATTTTCCCGATCTTCCAAGGTTCTTATCCCATCCACAATTACCATGCTTTGTACGTCTTTGGTATCAATTTCAACAAGACATTGCATTGGCCAAGGAACCCGCTTTTCGACCCGCAGTGCAAGAAAATCTACAGCATTTGGCAGAGCAAGCCGAAGGGATATTGCAACAAATCTTTTATTGGCAGCATCATCATCAAGGTGACCACCACCAATCCTACAATGACCCTGAATCGGATACGACGTTGTTGTTGACTGCATTGTGTCGACTCAAGGAACGCGTGGAAGTCATGCAGCAAGTACTTCAAATCATCGAAAATGGACGTGTGTGGTTTAATCAAGATCCAAAACAAGCTGTGATGCCTATCCTCCAAGCTGTGATCAAGGAACGTCAAGAGCAACAACAGGTTCATGCCATGTCCGTGGGTGGTGGTGGTACTAGTAGTTGTAACGGTGGTGATAGTAGTAGTTGCTGTGATGCTGCTGCTGCTGCTGCTGCTGTTACCACTATGCCGAAAAACATCTCCTATATCCATCCTGCTGCCTTGTCGACTTCCAGTGACCAAGGATCCCCATCATCATCATCATCACCACCAGGTGCTATTTTGACCATCGAGCCCTATTCCACGATCACTGATATGGCTGTCAACGAGGAGGATGATACTGTCACCAAGAAACCAGAGTCCATGGATCATCAAGTTGACCAAGATATGCATGTTGCTACAACGAATGATGGTATCGAGGATACGATATCAACCTTGAGTGCTATGGATATTGACGACGATGGCGACGACACCGAGTATGAGCAACCAGAGGAATCCGATGACGATGACGAATACATTGAGCCTATGCCACGTCGTCGTTCAACACGCCGCCGTTCAGGACGCAATCACGATGACCATGACATGGGTGAATTGAGTTCATTGGTTGACCAAGACGAGAATAGCCAAGAAGACAATGAGATAATCCAAGAACAAGGAACAGCATTGTTGGCCAATCGACGCCGCTCAACCACAAAGAGTGCTAGTGCCACCCGATCGTATCCTCGGCGTACAGCTACATCCTATGATGCTGAAACAACGCACTATCTCAAGAGTGTGTTTTTTAGCATTTACAGCAAGCGCGACAAGCTTACCAAGGACCAAAGGCGTCAAGTACAGCTACATACAGGTCTCAAACCACGCAACATCACCTACTGGTTCTCCAACCATAAACGTCGCTTCCAAACATCCCTCAAGGTCTTCAAGCGCACAGTCCGTGAGAGCAATGGAAAGGTCAAGACTTATGATGACTTTTTGGAGTGGCGTCGTGAACACAAGTTGCCTGAAGAAGTCATGGAGCATGAATTGGACGATGGTAACAAGAAGAATCAAGACACTACTACTACTGCTGCTGATGGTGATGATGGCAGTAAACCCACAACGTCATCCCTTTGTTCTCCTATTCATGCTTCCTCCCCTTCCATTTCTTGTAACAATGAAGAACACCATAGTGATGATGATGACTCAAAAGCCTAGTAGTTGTAGTAGTTGTAGTAGTAATAGTAGTTGTAGTTGTTGTAGTACCATTCCCCTTTTCTTTATCATCATGTCTCTTTACACAAAGGAAAAAAAATACAATGACACATGCATATGACAAATAAAAAAGTAAAGTACCTTGTAACCCTGATTTGATATCCATGTTCCTGACAGGGGAAGGCATACAAGTGAATAACTAAGCATCCGCGGGTGATTGTAGAAGGAAGGGGTGTGTTGTTGTTGTTGTGCTGCCATATGACTGTTACTGCTAATACCTCCTTAACACAGGCTCGTTAGTGTGTGCATGCGTTAGGATCAGAGTGACCAGTGCTTTGGGTAAGTAGAAATTGCTGAGCTTCTTTGACGACACCAGACTTGTTTAAACCATGAGCTTGGTACCTCCGAGCAAGTACGTAGTACTGAAACAATGATGACGATAGGATTGGGGTCTTAGCTCAAATGGTATGGTTTGCTATCTATGCATCATTATCATGATCACACACATTCATATGCTATACCATGGTATGTTACAAAGAAGTCCAATAAGACGGTGGCATCATCGCATGCCACAAAATCTTTTCCACGTGATATAAAAAATCAAGACCAACACGTCCACGCTGTGGCAATGTCGGGATGTCATTCGTTCTTTTTCTTGATCCATCTTTTGTTCGCATAAAAGATCTTGATACGCTGACCACCAGCACACCCAGCATAAAGACATGTTGATTGGCCAAGGACAAGGATATTGTACACCCTCATGCTCATCGTTCTATCACTCATGAACCCCAATCCACGACTCGTGTGTGGTGTACGTGAATCGGAAAGGGGTCGTTACTATGTATGCATGTATGTATGTATGCGTGTGGCAGGGTCATGAATGGGGTAACGTACGTATGTAGCATGGATACAAAAAGGGGTTACCGAGGAGAGAAAACGCGCAAGACACCAACAACAGATCGACGCTGGTCGTTGTTACTTGATTTGACATACAAAAAGGACACGACTTTTTTCTTTTCCTTCTCCCTTTTACTTTTTTTTCTTTACTCTTCAGCACACACACACCATAGTCATGAAACAGCAGCAGCAGCAGCCACTACAACAAGCACATCAACAGCTGCATCGATATCGATATGCATTGGTGCCACTGTGTATGGGTATGGCCAATTTGGCCCTGAATGAAATTAAACTACTAGAGCCATTCTATGCACAATACAAATGGGCCCATGCGGCCATGTTGAGCTTGGTCGGATCGATCGTATCATTATTCCTCGGATGGGATCACGTCAAGACACCTCTCATGTTTATGTATTCTTGTTTCTTTAAACCACTTGGTTCCTATGGAGATATCCAAAGCCGTCTCGAATCCTTTTATCAAGGCCAAGCACATAGTATGTTGTCTTTATTTAATTGCATTGCATATACAACAACAAGCTAACACACATTTCTTAAAGTCTATGACGATTCACGAGGCAAACTACTCAGAGGAAGGAAATCCATGTTGAAATTATGCGCTGCACAACTCAAGGAGCAAATCGCCAATGGTGTAACATCATCAAAACCTATTTGGATTGATCTGGGAGGTGGAACAGGTAAAGACTGATATTGGTTTTCGTTGTTTGCGTGTGTGCGGGTGTGTATGTGCAACCATGGAAAAGGGGTGTGTGCGTGTGTGTGTGTGTGACATGTTGTACGCATAACCAAAGAAGCTGGATGAAAATGGTCGACTCACACTCACCCTGAACCATACCCTAGGCTGGAACATTGAACAAATGCATGAATCCTTTCCAATTGAAAACTTTGACAAGGTGATCCTCGTGGATTTGACACCATCGTTATGCAAGGTGGCTGAAGACCGCTTCAAGCGTCGTGGATGGGATAATGTCATTGTGCTATGTCAAGACGCCGCCACTTTTGAGACCCCTTTTCCTGCGGATGGAAATGTAGGTTTAGTTACCATGTCGTACTCCTGTAAGTAACACACACATCCCATCCCTGAACCATACCAAAGGACTAACAATGATGATGATGATGATGTTTTTCAAGTATCCATGATGGATCATTATTATCCTGTGGTTGATCGAGTGCAATCCCTCTTGTCCCCTGATGGTATCTTTGGTGTGGTGGATTTCTATGTATCTGACAAGACTGCTGCACCCGCTGAGAAATGGACGCCACAATACAATCGTCAATGCAATTGGTTCACACGCGTGTTTTGGAAGTTGTGGTTTGAGTTCGATCATATCCACCTTGAACCAGGCCGGCGTGATTATCTCGAGTACAAGTTTGGCACCATCAAGAGTGACAATCGCCGTAATCATTTCATCATCCCATATCTGATTCAGATCCCATTCTATGTCTGGATTGGTCGCTCCCATGCACGTGCTGCTGATGTTGATGTTGATGATGGCGGTATCCTGGCAACAACGAGAGTATCCACTGATTCGCAAGACATAGCCAGTGGGTTGATAACACCTCCCTCCCCCATGTCGGTAAAGAGTGATGCAATGTCATTGGGGTCGTCGACACCACGTCGTCATTTTCAGAGCCGTCAATGGCGCCTTGACTATGATCCCACCTTGCCGTGCCATACACAATTCCGCTCGTACGTCTATGCTTTCACCTGGGAAGATCCACGTGTCGATTTGCAATACATGAACTTGAGCAAGGATGATGTCATGTTGGTGATCACATCAGCAGGAGACAATGCTCTTGAATATGCCCTTGCTGCTCAACCTAAGCGTATCCATTGCGTAGATATGAATCCCTGCCAGGTAAGAAAAATAAGGATGAGTATATATATGTAAAGTGCTAATGAATGGGGGGGGCGGAAACGAGTAGAATCACCTTCTTGAATTGAAGCTGGCAAGTATCGTGTCATTGCCGTATCATGATTTCTGGCGCATGTTTGGTGATGGGCATCATCCGGACTTTGCTGGTTTGTTGCATGACAAAGTGTCTCCGCATTTGAGCTCGTTTGGTTTCCAATATTGGTCCCAGCATAGCAACCGCTTTGCACACAAGTTTTACAAGACAGGATACTCTGGTCTGGCCCTTGGACTATTCGAATGGTGGACACGAGCTCATGGCATCACGCATCATGTCGAGGCATTGTGTCATGCTGACTCGTTGGAAGAACAAAAGCGCATCTGGAAACAGCACATTCGGCCTGTGTTGTTGTCGCCTCTCATTCGCAAGGTGATGGATAACCCAATGTTCATGTGGAATGCTCTTGGAGGTAAGGTTTGACAAAGAAAAGAAGGGGGTTTTGATATTGATCGTGTGTGATGATGATAGTGCCAATGAATCAAATGAACATGTTCCTGGAAGAGTGCACGACACAAGAATACATTGAAAACACGCTCGATCCCATTGCTACCCGATCCCTTTTCCGCAACGACCAATACTTTTATTACTTGTGCATGATGCAACGATACACACGCCAATCATGTCCAACCTATCTTACGCGAGAAGGCTTTGATATCTTAAAGGTACATAAGGGACAAAGAGATGGGTGATATTGCAATGAGAATGAATATTGATGTATGTGTGTTGCTAGTCAACCGATGCCTTGGATGCATTCCGCCTTCATACCAACTCGATCCTCAGCACGTTGCAAGAAATGCCTACCAATTATCTTACTCGTTTGGTGGTTATGGATCATATGGACTGGTTCAATCCTGAAGATGCTACCGGTGAGCTTGAAATGGAAATTCAAGAGATGGCCCGCACTCTACAACCAGGTGGTCGAGTCTTTTGGCGAAGTGCAGGTACCCGCCCTTGGTACAATCGTCTCTTTGAAAAGCATGGTTTCGCTGTTCAACCCTTGGCCGTTCGAAAACCCGGGGAATCCATTGACCGAGTCAACATGTATGCAAGCTTTTATCATGCAGTCTTGACACCCAACAAACAAACGCCTACATCTTCTTCTTGAGCACCATCATCTACAACAATCCACTCCTCCTCCTCCTATACTACTGAATAATAAATTGCCATGGCAACAACTTCCATGTACATATCCCATTCATTCAATGACCTTTTTGGAGGGAGGAGTTCTTTTGTGTCAATCATTCACGAGTCCATCTTATATATGCAAGGAGATTCCTCCTCCTATCATTTTGTTGTAATTAGCAAACACGAGGTGTTGCATTATTCACCACCACCACCACCATCATCATACAAAGGAGAGTGATTGATACAAGCATAATATCATGTACTATGGTGGTGGATTCTCGGATTCGAAAGTAATCGGCAAGGCCATCATTTCAACTGCATGTTTCATGTCACCCTTTTGATCCCTTTTTTTCTCAAAATAGGTTTGGGATAGGGGTCCCCTTTCTTCCAAGTGCAAGATACCTGCTGTCATCACCTGCCGTCACGCGAGTATGCAGTAAATGGGTACATCCCGCATGTTTCTCTCTCGGCTACCAGAGCTTGTTCATTGACATCCTTAAAGAATTTTATTCCTCGACCCTCACAGCTGTCCCCTTCTCCATCGTTTCCCCTCTTTATGAATTCTTAAATCTGCTTTCGCTCCCTTTTGGATTCGTTTCTTCTCTCTCTTTTTCGTTCATTTTGACAGCTAGTTATACATTCATTCAGTATTATTAGAAACTACACTTTACAACAATAACCATGCATCGATGTATTCCTTTTGTGTTGCTGCTGCTGATGATGACAGCAATGGCACCGAGAAACATTATGGCCGACGACAAAGAAGTACATTATTCGGTGGTAGCTTTCCCTGACAATGGCCAATCGGTGGGCGTAATGATTGAACATACCGGCAATGGTGATGATGGAAAGGTGTATGCTCTTACCGCAAGTGAGCAATACCCTCATGTATATAGTGGAATGGCTCCTTTTAGTCAAGTCTATCAGTATGCGTTGACGGATGCTACCTCGGGATCCGTGGTGGAACTTGAGTCTGAAAAACGATCCTTATCGCAAGGGGCATCATCCACAGGCAACGAGTTTTTTGGCCGAGCACCTACCGTATACAGCGTACCTGAACTCCCACAAGCATTTCATCCTGTTTATCCTCGTAAGATGTTAATAACCCACTCACAAGCAATGAAGCATTGGAATTAACATGTGCATGCATGCATGCATGCATGTATGTATAGCATTATTTACCAACATGAATCAATCCAATGAAGTTGCAACCATCTTGCTGGATTTGGAACAAGCTGAATTGGATACCATCCTTGCCAATCCCCATGCAAAGCATAAAGATGCCCACGTGCACAAGATGACTTTTATCAGCAACAGCGAAATCCACACGTTCACCAATGCAAAGTTGGATAACAGCGGCCAATCCACCAAGAATTTCAATCGACAATCATTCGAAATCAGCCTAGAGAAGCCCCAGCTATTGTTTGGCCGAAGGGATTTTAAGCTGCGTGCAGAGCAAACCGATTCCTCCTTTATGCAAGTATCCATATATACAAACACAAGATGGTTGTAAAAAAGATTGCTGATGTATGTACCCCATTCTAGGCGTGAAAAATTAGTGCTTGACATGTTGGCTGCCACAGGAGCAGCAGCCTTATCTGCTAGTTGGGTGCGTGTCTTTGTTAACGGTGAGCCTTTGGGTCTCTTTGTGTTGACGGATGATGCCTCCACACACATGGTGGATAACCTTTTACATGGCGGTGATTGGGCTTATCCATACTCAGGTAGGTGTACTTGCATGAATTTTTTTATTGTAACACACACACATTTAGCTAACGACGACGAACGTTTCTTTCTCAGCTTGGTTATACAAGGGCAACAGCATTGATGAAAAGCATACAGCCAACCTTGCCTATCTGGGAGATGAATTATCCAAGTATCCAAAGGACATTTACAAGCTCAAGGACAAGGGCGAAGCCAAGCACAAGTTGGGCAAGGAGAATGCGTCACTCCCCCTTGTTGAATTCATTCGCAACCTGAATGCCATTGATCCAGCCAAGATTACTGATGAAGAGAGCGGCAAAGAGCTAGCCAAGCTGATCGATCCCAAGCACACCATGTACCATTTAGCATTATCATTCTTGACTGGAAGTTGGGATGGCTTATGGTATCAAGCAAGCAACTACTACTTGACACAAGACCTGCAGAATGGCCAGTGGGCTGTGATCACCTATGACTTTGATGAGACCTTGGGCAATGGTGTTGAGCAAAAGGGTCTGGCCACAGTACCTTATGACGAGTATGGACCACGTGGCGGCGATGGCAACAAACGTGTCCTTGTGGATATGATACTTGATTCGCCTTATTATCGTGCCGAATTTGAACGCATCCTCACGACCATCGTCAAGCGTTATTTCAAATCGAGTGTGGTGGTACCAAGGCTCAAAGTGTGGATGCAAATGCTGGAAAAAGATATCGCATGGGATCGATCCTTGGAACCCCAGTCGCCAGGTGACAAAGTCGAATGGACTGCAAATGATGTTGAATCAGGTGCATTGGGTACGGGTAACGGTGCCAAAGGTGAATCGGATCTCAGTGTCAGTATTGCTGAGTGGGTGGAGACACGTTCAAAAGCACTTTGCAAGCAATTGGGTATCAATGATACAGATGATCTTCCACCCCTGGGTCCCTATCATGGAGGTCGTCAAATGGATGGAGCAGGCCATGTTACGGATCGTTCAGCTATCACGCCAGCTTCTTCAGATTCATCCCTTTCTTCTTCTGCCAACAACAACAGCAACAAGGATAGCACCAACAATGAAAGTGATGGAGACGATGCCAATGTACGTGCACTGAGTGCTGAGCAAGGTACCACCAATGACGCTGGATCTTCAGCCATCTTCCCCATGTCGTCGTCGTATTTGCCAAGCCTTTTGGTTACATTCATAGTCTACCACTACTCCTACTACTAGCACTATTTGATACCCCATCATCACCTTAATGACCTTCTTCTCCTCGCTATAATCTTCCTTTGATACTTTGCACGAATACAATCGATCACCAATAGCATTCATTTCATGTCATCCAATTCGAGTTTAAAGGCGTTGTTTGGTGTCTGCATATGGACGCAACTTTATTTTGGGATAGGATGCTTTTAACGCAATGCTTCATTATCCAGCCACCGGCCCATTCATAATCCCGATATGATGTTCATTATGCGTGAGATCACGTTGCTTTTGTCGCTATAGGGAAATAAAGAAACTTTGAAATCCAGGAGTTTCTCCTTCTTTGTAAGATATCATAGTAGCATGGCACTCCCCCACCACCACCAATGTAATTTGAGCTTCTTTGAAGAAAAAGACAAGGGCTATATACCAAGTAATGTGTTTCAGTGTGCCAAGGAGTAATGCTATAGGCGATCCCAATTTTAGTGACATGATGATGATGGGCAATCCTTGTATCACGTTCACCGCCGCCACCAGTAATGGGTATTGAAGGAAAACTTCCCGATGTTTTAACCGTATATGCATGGAAACGGGGCAAGCGTAGCTGCGTAAAAATATCTGTTTTTAATTTTATGTTGTGCATTGATGGGCATGGAAACCGTGGAAAGGATAGACTTTCTTTGTCTTCATTGATTGGCGCATGCACCTGGCAATTACCAAGCCTGTTTCTTCTTTGTTCCTCTTAATGGGTCATGTACCTTAGAAAATGGGATCAAGCATACAAGCTATACACACCATTGTCTATGGGGATGAGATGTATACATGATAATGGGACTTGTATCGGGTGTCAATGCGCGTAAAACGCGTTGATGGGTGGTACAAGTTTGGTGTCAATAAAAAATACCATGGTGTCAGGTGGGTTACACCGTTATTTGCATTGCACGGCATGCTTGGATCGCCCAGCCGGATCTACCATAAAGTTGTAGTAGCCAAGTTTCCATCCTTTCTATTCATCTCAAAACACGGGTGGCAATCACCCATTATTTTACGGGTATAAAGGTCAAAGGCAATATCATTCTTGTGGAGGTATTGGCGAACAACACGAATCACGATGCAATCCATTCACGCTGTATTGCTCGTTTTTTCTATATTGACAATCACCAAAGTCATAGCTCAAGATGTCCAGTATGCTGTTGTGGCATTTCTACCTCCAGGAGCACAATCAATAGGCGTATCTATCGATGGCGGAAATCCTCATCCTTTGAGTGCTAGTCAAGAAACCCCACAGCTGTATACAGGAACAGCGCCATCGCCTAGTCAGCATTACCAGTATACCATCCTCAATGACCAAGGCCAAGCAATTGCTACTGAAGCAAATCAACGTGCGTGGATCAACGGTGCCACTTCAACCGGCAATGAATTCTTTAATCGATCAAGGACCACATACGAGGTACCATCCTTGCCACAAGCCTACCATCCTATTTACCCTCGTAAGTATGAATCATGCTACGTATGAAGGGCTATCATCACCATAACAACGTTTCACTATTATATAGCTACTTTCACCAACATGAACCAATCCAACGAAATTGCAACGGTATTGCTTGAAGCGAATGCAACAGCAGTGCAAGAAATCCTTGGTGATCCCAAAGGTGACCATGAATACGCTCGCGTAGATCGAATGACCTATATAAGCAACAAGGAAATCTTCACTTTTACCGGTGCTGGTTTTCGCAATAGCGGTCAATCAAGCAAAGAGTTTACTCGCCAATCATTCAAAGTCAAGTTGAATGAGTACAAGGCTCAAGGTGAAGAAAACCAATTGCTGTATGGGAGAACGACCATCAAGCTTCGAAGCGAGCCTGCAGATCCCACTATGATGTATGTGTGCTACACCTTTTTTCCTCTCCCTAGATGATTGAAATTTAACTCATGGATTTGTGTAGGCGAGAAAAACTTGCTTTGGATATGCTTGGTGCTGCAGGTGCTGTCACTTTGAACTCACAGTGGATACGATTATTTGTCAATGGTCAGCCATTTGGTTTGTTTCTAATGACCGATGAAGCAACAACCCATTTTATCGAAAATGCCATTTACGCTGGTGATCACGATCGCACCAACACAGGTATGCTAGCCATAAAAAATGTGAACAATGATGCTAACGGTCCCATATATGTATGTAGGGCCAACCTACAAGATGAATTCTTTGAATGCTACTCAACAAGGCAACCTTGTCTATCAAGGCGATGATGTAATGCTATATCCAGAATCACTTTACGAGCTTGAAGACGAGGGTAGCCATGATTTCCCCAACAAAAGCGACGAGCTTGTACCCCTTGTTCAATTGATGCGGCAGCTAAACGACACCAATACCGATATACAATCACTGGTTGATGTCACACACACCATGTTGCACTTGGCAATCAACATGCTGACAGGGGCTTGGGATGGCATGTGGCATCAAGCAAGCAATTACTTTATGCATAAACAAGAAGAGAACCGCTGGATCGCTATTAGCTATGATTATGACGAGGTGATGGGGTTGTCGTCACCTGAATATCATTACATGATGACAACGCCATGGCAAAATTTCACTCCTTCTGGTCGACCACGCCCCCTGATTGAACCTATCCTTGAAGATGAGCAGGCCTTCAACAATGTATTGACCACGCTGGTAAAGCGCTTTTTCAAACCAAGCACGCTCAATCCACGTATTGATGCGTGGCGTGACATGCTCAAAGAAGATATGGCTTGGAATTTGGCATTGCCTCACCACACAGCGAATGCTACTATCAACACGACATGGACTCTATGGAATTACGAAAACAATGTCGATCATCAGGATGGCCAAGTGCTAGGTCTTAAGCAATGGGTACAAGAAAGATCATCAGCGATCTGCCAGCAGCTTAGTATCACTGACGAAGATGATCTGCCGCCCTTGGGTCCATATCAACAACCCGAACAACCACAACAGCAAGGATCAGCATCACAATCATTACCAGTGCCATTTGGTTTCCTTCATGTGCTTTTAGCAGTGCTTGTTTTATTACTTGTATAAAGTCATAAAGTATACCGATTCACACATCATGATGATGAAAAGAAGAATGGGCTTACAAAGGAAAGGAAGGAAGATGGAAAAGGCATACATTGGGATTAATGATGATGATGGGATGAATGGCTTGTTATTCTACTAATAGGTATACTTCTCCTCAGTCTCTTTTACAGGGACGTTGCTCTTGTTGCGTGTAAAGACATGAGATGCTTGTTGGGATTGACTAAACTCAAGGTATGCATTGGCCATGGTTTCCTTTTTCCTCTCCTTGCGTCTTCGACAACACACAAAGATGGCAATGCCTGCAATTAGGGCAAGACCACCGACAACACCAATGGCAACGAAAGCTGACGGAGGCACACCACCTTCATTGGGATGTTCATAAGAAGAGGGAATAAATGTTGGGACACCAGGAGGCACAGATGGCATTGCTGCTCCACTACCACCGCTATCATGATGATGTTGCCATTGATCGTTGTTTTGATTGTTCTCATGTTCTTGTTGCCCTCCTCTATTTTGATCAATGTTGTTGTTGTTGTCCCATTGTTGTTGTTGTTGGTTGCTGCCTATTCCATAGTCAGAGTTATGCTGGTTGTTGTTGTTGTTTTGGTAATGCTGATCCATTATTCAATAAAGAAAGTAATCGATGAGATGATGAAAGACGTCACTGTCAGAGCGAATGGGTTTTATAGCTTGCGCCAGATGTAAATATACGGACCCTGGGGTAATAAAGGAGTACGCCGTGTGTGTTGTTTTGTATAATACAGGAGATCTTAGTCGTGCCAATGTCATGCTAAAATGGCAGTATGTATGCAATGCAATGTACAGTGGTTTTATATTCACGAAAGCACGGTGCCCGAATTCGTATGTATTATTGTCTTTTGATTCTAATGGCGGGAGCAGCACGTCTCTGAAAAAACATAATCGTGGATGAATGCTCTATGTCATCAATAGCGTTGTAATAAGAAATGTTTGTATGTGACATTAGCAACATCAATGGTAATAGCTAATTCAGGAGAACAGCAATGATAGCATGTTCTCATGCAAGCAGTAAGAACAATCAAATCATGAAGACCAGGGGACCACCACCACCACTACTACATGCGCGCAGTAACTAGGACCTTCCCGCGTTTCTTATTCATCATCACCCCTCCTCGCTATATGGCTTTGAGCTGTTTACATACAATCCACTTAACAACACATTTATTAGTATGATCTCAAAGACATTGAATGTATATAAACATCGGTGGTACTACGCTATACACAAATGCTTTTTGGTGCACCCATCTCAGCTCTTGTCGATGATCAAAGAAGGGATGACATATATAGAATTGAGATTATATCATAAAAGGAGGCCGTTTTCTTATTTGCATGTTGATGCATACTCGTCGTGATCCAACATGGCATCAAGTAACGTTGTATGGCTGATGATGTAGTGCACAGCAGCATGGAAGGGTAACCACATACAATTTTAGGCTTAGCCAAAAAAGGAGGTCCTTTGGAATGATATTCCAAGATCCAAAGGAGATCGATTCAAGCTTTTATCGATCGACACGTTGCAGCAATGATTTTATTCGGATCAAGAGTTGTATATTGCACAATCAAGATCCCCCACAGCTTGCGCCTTCAAATAAGGTTTTGGCATAGGGTGGTGTGATGTTGCATATTCGGACGAAGAAGGAGAGATTGGATGTGTGTGATCTGATACTATTTGCATTGAAGGAAATGACTAGCCAATGTTTACGACATCAATGTGAATTGGCGGATGGCGTGAATTACATAGATATGAATGGGATGACGCTGTGGCACCATTAATGCAGCTCTCTTTCCGCCACCATGTCCTCAGACACAGTACTCTTGGAATCTTGCCACGACAAGACCCTCATTGAAGCACGCATCACATACACCTCTCACAACACGAACAATGGAGACATTGTACCAGCCATTGTACTAGCACATCCTTATGGTCCTCTTGGTAATGAAAGTTCTCATTCCCCACTCGCTACCCATTGACAACCAACATTTCAGGCTTGTTTTCTGTTTTCAGGGGGCAACAATCGCAACAATGTTATAATGGCACTCCATGAGTATTTCGTGACCAAGGGGTTTATTACAGCAAGCATCAATTTTAGGCAAGTATGCTATAAGGAGGCAAGGATGCTGTGGG